AAACTACTTCCACATTAAAAACAGGTGCCACTGCTAAAACAACAGCAACAACAACAAAAACTACTCCTTCTAGCTCGGTTAAAAAAGAAATCCCGAAAACATCAACACTAAAGAAAACACCACTGACAAAAACAACCATTAAAAAACCCAAGGACGATAAATCGTCAGTTTCTACCACAAATAAAGTGAAAGCTAAACCGCCCGTTAAATCGGTTGCTGATGATGAATCTGAAGGTTCAAAAAAACCAGAAATCATGGATGATCATCCCCACGAAGGCTCAGATTCACAAGCCGGCAAAGATTCTGAGGAAGAAATAAATTCACAAGTTTCTCACGAAAAAGAATCAATCGCTGATTCTGAAGAAGTTCACGACCATGATAATCATACTGATCATCATGCAGAAGAAGAATCTCATCAAAATTCATCTCACGATGATTCATCTTCCTCGGTAATTGAAGCTAGTCAAGAACATGAGGAACATGCGTTAGCAGTCGAAACTCATGAGGAACATGCGTTAGCAGTCGAAACTCATGAGGAACATGCGTTAGCAGTCGAAACTCATGAGGAACATGCGTTAGCAGTTGAGACTCATGAAGAAGAGGCGTTAGCAGTTGAAACTCATGAGGAACATGCGTTAGCAGTTGAAACTCATGAAGAAGATGCGTTGGCAGTTGAAACCCATACAACTCAAGACACTGTGTCGGTAGTTGATTCTCATCATGAAGAAGAAAATTCAACTGTTGATTCCCAGGAAGCTCGTGACGAAGAAGTTGTTTCTACTACTGAAAGTCATGAGATTCATGAAGCATCCGATATCGATAACCAAGAAGCAGAAAATACTAAAGAAATCTCTACTCATGAATTAACGACCGCTACTGATAAACAAGCCGTTGTTGAAGATGTCAAGAATATCGTGGAAACTCTCACTGAAGTTCATGAAACGGAAGATGAAACTCAAGTTATCACCACTGAGACGGTTGAAATTGAAGTATAATAATATTGGCTAATCGATATTGTGGTATTATTGATGGGTGATTCAAATGGCAGGTATTACCAGGTATTACGTATTTACTAATCTGCAAAACTAGATTTGGGATATTACAAGCAAATATATATATACGTAACTTTCGATTCATCTTTCCAAAAACTTGTAAAATATTTTTTCTCTCTTTCTCTATATTAGTCGATGTAGTTTGTAGTTGAGGGGTAAGAAATTGAACAGAATTGTTGAGGTGATTTTATTGAATTAATCAAATTAGTTTATCAGCATAAATACATGTTACCTTAACAACTTTATATCAACTTATATATATATATCTCTCTCTATAGTTATCCCGTTAACTTTCTTCCTGTTATATATTAAAAATACAAATATAGTCTAGTTATATATTATATAGGTTGGTCATTGCGATATCTAAATAGATATTTTTATTCTTATCACTCAAGCGAATAAACACAAATGTAAAGATACCAAAATGATTAATTCTATTCAAGCTTATTGAGAATCTCTATCCCAGATTTATTTAATTGAGTAAATAGAATACATATAGATATTCTATCAGTAAAAAAAAACTATCGTAATTTCCGCATATTATGTTGAAAAGATATGATTGTGTGAATCAGAGAAAAATATTGATGCGAGTCAAAAAAGTAATCATTTGATAGATTTTTTACATTTTGAATGAGAAATCGAAAGTAACTTGTATTTCTAAGAGTTAAAGAGAAAAAAATATCAGAATTCCAGTACTGATAATATATTTTAAATTACGTGAGCACAACAAAACAATTAACATTCAATAACCAATTAATTAAATACACATATATTTTTACTACTAACAATTCTAACATAAAACTGTAATCTTGCAAATTGTTTATTGATTTATTTCTCTTTTGATGCCTCTTCTTCGGTGTCGATACCCAACAAGGCAGCCTTCTTATCAGCAATACGTTGAGCACGACGCTCACGCGCAGCTTTGTTCTTTTGACGATGAGCCTCAGCTTGATCACTATTAACAGAGAAAATCAATCAATTATATAATATCATCATAAGATAATTTAATAATAGCGAAAATTATTCTTACGCAATAAGTTTGGTACGAGCTTTCTCGGCCTTGGCTTTATGAATGTATTCCATCAATACACGTTTATTTTTGAATACATTACCCTTAGCCTTCATATACAATTGATGGTATCTAGATAATAAATCATGAAAAATATTAATAGCAATTGAATATATATATATATATAGAGAATTCAGCTCCATTTATAAAGAAATCTCTTTATTGCTATATTAGATCTCCAAAACAAACATACATACAAATGCTTATCAATCTTGCCAGATTCTCGATACTTTCGAAGTAAACGTCTCAGCACACGTTGTCTCCTCATCCATAGTACAGCATGAGGCATACGTGCATTTGCGGTACCTTTTCTCTTACCGGGACCAGTATGTCGTCCCTTTCGTTTAGCTTCCAATTTAGCTCGGACTCGGAATCGAGAGTGAATTACTTGCGGTTTCTTAATGATGAGACCATCCTTTACGAGTTTTCTGATATTTTGACCTGCATTTAGAATAACGACGATAAAAATCGAATTGAAAATGGGTGATCGTTAAAAAATATCGATGCGAGTAATTGATCCAAGTTTTCTTGATAAATATCAAATGGAATCAAATCACTAATCGAAATATCTATAAAGATTTTCCCACTCACGAGAATTAGCGTTTGATATCTCGCTGACTTCGTTAGGGTCAAGCCAGACCTTTCTCTTGCCACATCCGAGGACGCTAGAGGCCAATCTTTTCTGACTGCTCAAGTTCGGCCTTGAAATTTAAAAAATTTTCCAATTAATCTATTCACCATGTCTTTTTAAATTCTCCGCCACCCCTTCCTTTTTCCTTCTATCATGCATATATTTCACTTGAAGTCATCTCACATGTGTAGCATGCATAGCTCATGAAAACAGTAGCGTTATTTTTTTGCTTTAGGTAGCTTGACTTACATGGGGGTTAGAGCAACTTGTCAGTTTATATGAGGTCGAGAAGGAAGAAGAAAAAATATTTATCGCTCGTGATTTGATGACCTTTATTTTTTGATTGGTCGAGAGTAAGCTAAATTTTTGAGACAGCTCATCTTAGTATTAATATCGATATTTATGCGAAAATTTGTTCGGCCTTACAAAATGAGAAAAATTCATTGTACTTTTGGATAAATATTTTCTTAATTTTGTTTTGATAGTTTTATATTTATATACCGATTTTTGAATATCACGCTTAATGTATAAAAGAAATTAATGGATAAATAAAGAATAAGAGGAAGCGACTTTGTGATAATAATATTAATAAAAATAAAAATATAATAATACTAAAAATATATAAATACTTTTTAAACAAATTAAAATACATTAAGAACAGGGAGCTGGAAATATATTAAAATCATACAGAGACGAATAAAAATAAAATCAATTTTTTTTAAACAAAAAAAAATAATGCAATATAATGATGATTGATAGTACATAAGAAATAATTTTGTGACAGCAATGATGTGGGAAAGTAAAAAGGGGAAATGTATGGTCTATAATGTAATAAACAAACAAGTATATAGTATAGTCTAATAGCAAAAAAAAAAAATACAACGGAAAAATTAAAAAGATGTAACATTTTCGACAATACAGTTAGAACTTACACTCGATATTTTAAATCAAAAATCAACGCAAAGTTCCTAATGATCGTCAAAAAAAATTAATAAATAGTAAATATACAAATCAATCCAAAAAAAATGCGCCAGCGCTAGTTTCGAAAACGATCCACCCATTTTTGACTTGACGACTCAAAGTTAAACTCTAGTTCAGCATGATCATGAATATCATCATTATTATTAACATTATCATTACCAACATCATCTTCGTGCATAAAAGTATCCAATATTTCCTCTTGTATCGTGAGACCTTTTTTGAAAAATTGTGGAAAAGTAGCTGCACGAAGTTTTCCAGTTGATGAAGTATGATGAATTCTTGGCAAAGGGGATGACACTTCGGAATTTGTTACAGCTTCTTCACAATCAGCGTCATCATCTTCGTCGTATAAGAGTTCTTTGGGTAAATTTAATGAGAAACCATCGTCACCTGGGGTCCATGTGGCACGATGCCGCAGTAATCGAAGTGATTGTCGAAATTCCGCACGCTTTTTTTCTCTCTTTCGCTCTTCTTCGGTAATTGTGGTTGTGATTGTGGGTAAAGGTGAAGATAGAGCACTTTCTTTTCTATTACGTGAATCGGAGTTTTTTGTTTCTTCTCTTTCTCTACGTTTTTGAGCACGAATATTGATAGAATTTTCAAGCGATTCAATATAAGTTGTATATTTAACTATTTCATAAAGTAACCATTGAGATTTTCTCTCCCAATTAGCAAAGGCTTTAGTGTGATTTGAAGATCGTGGATGATACTTGAAATAAAAATAAAAATTAATATCAATTAACTGGTAAACCAAAAATAAAAGTCCATCATTATTCATTAAAAACTCACCAGTTTAGTCATTGGTTCCCGATAAGTTTTGTGTGCCTCTAACTCATTTTCCAAATCTGTTATATATTTTTTGAGTGCAGCCAATTGTTTTTCCTATGGAAAATCGCAAAATATTATTAAGAACAAATTTTATTCTTATTTCACTTCAAAATTAAACTTCTTTGAATTTCACCTCTTTAAATCCACTAGATACCATCGGAGGCATCGGTGCTTTCCATTCATTAATAACTACTCGATCACTGTGTGTTATAGATGTATTGACACTCAATATACTATGTTGATCATCCCAACTTTCGGTAAGGTCTATTGATGAAGATGATAAATCGATGCATCTATTCCATCCGTATTCCATATTGCTAACACCACCCGTCATTGGTTCTTTGCTCATCATCGCGGCCCAATAATTACAAGTTGCTACCCATTCTGTCACAAGTTCAGGAGTACCAGCTTGGAATAGGTAAAGTCCACCATTCGGTAACGATAAGGCAAATACGAAAGGTCGATCTCTATTATATCCTGGTGGAGGAAGGGGATTGGTTATTGAATGTCGTAAGTTAACTTCACCCAAAGGAATCGCATTGTCCTAATAAATAAATAGAATAAAATCATATTTGGTTGAGATCAAATACCACGGGTGATAAATAACAATCAAATAGATTGAAAGAATTAATTTTACCATCCAATTTCCGCCACCGACAATGCCATCTCCATTCACATTACTATTATGATGAATGGATGAATCAAACTTGTACATTCTAATCTCGCCGTTCTCAACCACTACGAAACATTCTTTCCAAGTTTTATCCTTTGCTCGCTTATTAGTTGATTCCCAATAGTGTTTTCTAACGAGATTTCCTTCCTTAGCATATGGCGCACCAGACAAATATAATTGTAAAGATTCAGTTGTTGAAACTGAATCAAGTGAAATATTATCATCATCATCTCGTTCTTTATTTTTCTCTGATATGTTTTCAAATGACTGCTGACGTAACGTATTATTGGATCCTAGAGTTACGGAGCTATTTCGATGATTCACAGTGGTCTTTTAAATAGAAAATCATATTTTATAAATCAATTACTCACAATAAAATGATGATTACGACAGACATAAATTAATGTTTACCCCGAGACTTATGTCACTTCCACCACTTCCTAGACTAGGACTGGGTGAATTCCTCTCAGCCTTCATTGAACGTCGTTTTAGATTTTCTCTTAAACTGACGTTTAATTTATGAGGATGACCCAAGTGGCTTTCACTTCTTTTAAGTCGAATAGTTGATGAAGGTGATGATGTTTCTGAAGAAGCCCCTTTTTCTATTGATGACGATAAAGGCTGTAATATTTGATTTGCTTTGATTGAGTTATAAATTACTTTTAATAAATTCTCCAATTCTGCATCCCATTGTCGTGAATAACTGGTATGACCGTTAGAGCTCGAACTATTAAAAGCATTCATGAAAGAAACAGTCGAAATGCCGCCACCTTGGTTGCTCGTCCAGCTCTTGATGCTATCACTACGCCGTGGAGGTCGAATTACATTTATTGTCGTGTTAACTTCGGTCAATATTGAATCATCGTCAAATGATTCAATAGCACTAGAATTATTGCTAGTCGGTGTGATTGGTGTGGATACGGATAGAAGCGATGTTTGTGAATGAACTGCTTGCATCGTATTTTTGACGAATTGTGAGCGAGACATTCGACTGATGCCTTGGGCAATATGAAGGTCCGTATTCAGTAAAAGAAGTGAATACGAAATAGCGTGGACGACATCTACATTGGATATTTAAATATTATTTAGTTTTTATTTTCTTTGTTATCAAAGAGGAATGAAAATAGGAAACAATTTACCAGCACTTGCAAATGTGGAATATTTAGGGTGATATTGGTTGCATTCCCAATATCTGCGGGAAAATGCTTCCAAAATTCGATCCACCTGCTGTGTTTCACCCTTTATGTATAACCGAGCACAAAGTTGCCTAATATAAAAATATTAGCGAATTTCGTAATAAAAAAATCAACTATGCACATTATAACAGAATGAAGAAATGAAAATAATAATTACTAACCGAAATGCAACATCTATTCGTTTGTCGTAAAAATTATAGTAATCCATATAGCACTTTAATGCTCGAGCATTTTCGGTTTTACTTCAAAATTGAGAGAAAAAACCTTTGTCAGATTGAATAATCTTGTAAATAAAATAATATAACATAATGTTGATCATAATAATGAGGATGATTTGCTGGTGGTGTTGAATATTATACGTACTTTCCGCCTAGAAATTCGGCAATAAGTTCTTTTGACATGAATGTTTGATCTTCTTCGTAACATCTTTTCGCCGCAATCCTTGCTTCAGCCCATGCCACTTCTTCCTCATTTTTCTTAGGAATTTCAGGTGGTGACAATGATAATAATTGAATGTCAATCTCAACTTTATCATGTCCATCTCTTTTTTCATTATTTTTAAGATTCTCATTATTACTATTACTATTACTACTGCTACTATTCTTATGGTTATTACCATCATCATTAGATGAATTTCGTTCCTCTGTTGAGACTGGATCATCCACCTGAATATAAAGAGGATAAGGAGAAGTGGTTGCAATAGATGAATCTGAAGAGATATTGTTATTTATGTTGAGGATATTTTGGCTATTATCGGCGAAATCTTCACTTGTAATGGGGGAAGGGGGAGCGGTATGCAATGTTCCTGTAGACCCGCTAGCTGTTTCATAATAACTACTAGCGATGCTGGAGTCTTGTCGCATATGTGGTGAACGAGACGCCGATGGCTGATTAGCTTTAACGATTTGTTTGGTATTTGGTAAATCTGGCAATTTTTTATTTGGTCTCTTAGGTACCGTAGGACTGTAAACTACTACTAATTCCGTACCTGTGTCGTTAGTATCTCGCCTCTGAAGTCCATTCTTATTAAATATCGATTCTTTTTCCTCTGCAATAATAAATAGTATAATAATAATAATATTAATATTGTGATCTCTATTAATGTTGTGATTATGGTGATGTGGATATGATAGTTATTATTACCAGAGGAAGACGTCACCATTGATCCTGCTTCTTCCTTTGTGAATAATATTGATTTTTCTTCTCTTTTCTCCTCATCTTTACTAGTAAAATTTCTCAGCAAGGATGTTGGCGAAGAGGGTAAATTTGATCGTTGCTCTCCTATATATACTTCTTTGGTTGTTTCGGTTTTTATAAATGAATCTAAAGATGAAGGAGAAAAGAAGGCGGTGGATTTATTTTTATCACCGTTATTATTATCACTAATAACATTATTTGCTTGGTTTTTTTCGTGATTAGAAATTAATGATTCTTCATCATCTTCTCTTCTTTAAGAGGATGACGAATATCTGGGTCAAGGAAATATTACATTAAAATCTTTTTTAAATTTGATGCTTACTTGACGACAGAGACACTGAGTTTTCCTGCGTTATTGTTGATGGAAGTGATTTCATCAATCTCTCTCCGAGACTATCATAATTACTCGAATTGGTATAATCATTCAAGTGGCTAACTTTCATCATTCCAAAGTCGTTCTTTATTATTACTTCACTATTAGTAACATTCATAATCGAAGGAAAGCTAAGAGCTTTTCCTGCTCGATCATCTCCTGAATCGAAAAAACTCGATAATAAGTTTGAATCATTTAAATTATGATTGTTTGTGTCTAAATCATTGTTGTATAAGCGCCCAAGATTTTCGGGTACACTCTTATTTGCGCCCAATATTGAGTTACGATAAAAATTATTACGTCGACGAGCAGAACTCAGTTCAAATTTACTGAATATTGCATAGTCCTTAAATGTTTCTTGTAACATATCATCCTCATCAATTCCTCTTTCTTCTCCATCTGTTTCATAATCTAAATCTTCATTATCAGAATATGATCTTGTTTTACCAGTTTTCCCACCAGTATACATCCCATTCTCATCGTAATAACTATGACTGCTAATCCCGCTGCTATTATTAAGTGTTAATTTTGGTACCTCTCCTTTTTCATTCGATTCTGTGTCGGTGAAATTTGGAATAGGAGCTCGACCATTATGATCAAGATGTGGCTAGAAAAATCGAGAGAAATTATTCTTTTTTAAAAATATTTACTCTTTAAAATATTGACGAAAATTACTTTTACCTTTTTTTACTACATTATTTCTTACCTTATTTCCTCCAAATTTTTTGAAAAACGTTGACGTTTTTCTCATGGTTTTTTTCATTGTAATCTATTTTTATATATTAAGTAAATTAAAATATAACATAGCGTAACCGGTTGAGGAACAAAAACAAGTGGGGGGTGATATGAATAGTTGAAGTAATAGAAAGAATAGAAGCGTAGGTGATAAAAGTGAAATGTTTGTCTCAGAATAATCCAGTTGTTGGAGTACAACCGAATTAAAAAATTAAAAATTAAAAATAACTCGTCCAAATATAGTAAACACTGACATGCTTGAACAAAAATGGTGTATTTATATGCATGCATGTATGTTGTCCCATCCTCAGAATTAAGATTTAAATCAACAATGCGTCTATCAAATTTCTCGTACTCACACATTCACTCTCACGCTCACATAATACGAGGATGAGAGAAATAAATAAGAGGACGAGGAAAATAGAAGACGAAAACTACTACTTCTCCATGATAGTAATGAAATTATGCATGTTTAACTCACCTTAAAACCTTTTTCGAACACTAAACTGTTTTTCCTTTGCTGAGGAAAAGTATTTGCATATGAAGTGCTGTTATTTTTGTTTTGATTTGGATCAATATTATTTGTATTATTTGTATTATTATTGTTGTTGCTATTTTTATTATTGTTATTACTGTTGTTATTATTTTCGACAACATCATCATCATCATCATCATCACTACTATTATTGTCATCATCATCATTATTATAATTATTATAATTATTATTATTATTATTATTATTATTTTCAACAGATCCGTCTCCATCTGGATTATTATGTTTCATTAACATTTCGTATTCTGCACTTAATTCTAATTCACCCGTAGGTAAAAGATTTGGAACACTAATACTTCCAAGTTTAGTTTTCGAAATAGTATTACGTTCTTCTTTTGAAGGTTGATTATCTGGGTGATTTGTTTCTCCCACTTTTGTAGTTATTAATGTAATTTCTTCAAATGTTTTTGGAGGAAATTGTTGGGGTGGTAGTTGTTGTACTGGAGAAGAAGGAACGGTGGAGGAATGGTGAGACAGTGACCCACTTTGTTCATTATTATTGCCATTATTATGGCAAATGTCCTTCTTTTTGAATAAAGAAAAAAAAGTTTTAGAATTGTGCCTTCCCGGAATTGACGACGTTGTGGTTTGAGAAAGGCCATTTGGCGTTGAAAAAGGATGTGGCACTTGGTGCACTTCTGAAGCTCTGCGCACTTGTTTTTTCGTCGTCGTCGTCGTATTAAAGAGATTATTCTTGGTATCATTATTATTATTATTATTATCGCTACTATTATTATTAATTTCGAAATCGTCAAAGTAAGTGGGGGAACTTAGCGGAGCCCACTTTCCGAGTGGGTGGGCCATTTTTTTGAAATTTAGAATCCTATGTTATTTTGCAATTTTGTATATTTGTATATGTAAGTGAAAGTGAGAAGAAATGGCAAATTCGTTGAATGACGATTTTACATCCATCATTTTTGTGTGACTATGACATATCGAGATATTTTGATAGTAAACTTAGCCTCACGGCGAAAATGTTCGGTTCATGTGATATTTAAGTGTATGCACGTGAACACCCGAAAGAATTCCATTCGTGTCGGTTGAATTTTAAATATGTTCGTTATACAGAACACAGTTAATTCAAAATGAAAAATTTTATTTTTAATAATCAATAACGATAGTAAGACTTTACATGTCACTAAATTTTGCGATTTTTACTAAGTTATGTCTTTTTCTTAAAAATTAAACTACAGACTTAAGAACATCAATAAATTTGATTATGTAATAACTTAAATGGATTAATAATATTATAATTACAGTGTTTATTCAAATTTTAATATTATATTATATTTGCTCATCTTAAAATATTATATACAGTATGTAACAAAAAAACTGGATATTTTAATTTTCTCCATAAATATTTATTTAAATAACATAAAAATTTAAATATATATTGATAAACAATTTTATTTAAGACTACTTGAACACTTATCTTATTAAAATTTTTTATAATTTATGTTTTTAAAATTAAAAATTTTTAATAATAAGAAAACTTAAATAAATTATTATAAATAAATTTGATTATTATTTTACAAATTAATCTTAAGTAAACTTGTTTACTAAATTATCAAGTATATATATTTAAAATTTTATATAATTTAAATAAATATTCATTGAATAACAAACAAAAAAAAGATTAAAAAAGTATTTTAAATTTTTTTATAATCAATTTTTTTAAATAAAAAAATATTTATTATGAAAAATTTTATTAAAATAAGTATTAATTACTTTTAAGTAAACTTTTCACTAGATTATCAAGCATATATATTTAAAATTTTATATGAATTAAATAAATATTCATTAAATATAATCAAAAATAAAATATCTGATTTTTTTTATTACATATTATACATCAAATCTCTTTATAAAGAATTATTAAATAAGTATATATATATATATATAATTTAAAATTATCTCTTTATAAAAATAGCTAGATTTTTTTGGCTTAAATCATTATTTTATTATTTATTCTGAATTTTATTATATTATAAGTATCATTATATATAAAATAAAATAATTATATTTTAATTATAATTTAATTCTTATTTTTATTTAAAATATTCTTTAAATTAAATATAAATTTTTATATTTAAAATTAAAAGAAAATTATTTTATTAAAAATAATTTTATTAATAATAAATTTCTATTTTTTAATATAATTTATCATATTCTATCAGTTTTAAATAATATCAATTATAAGTAATATTTTCAAATTTAAATTTAAATTTCATTAATTTTTATTTTTCTAGTTATAAATAATATTTTTTTATTATATTTATATAATACTTCTTATTTATATATTATTATTATTTTTTACTATCTCTTCATTATTATTTAAATTATTATTATTTAATTTATATAATAAATTATCTTATTATTTATTTATTTTATTTAAAATATCATATTTCAAAAATGATTTTTTTATTATTTCTGTTATAATTTTTTTTTATGTTTGAATAATTTATTTATATGTAATTTTATAACTTAATTTTTGTAAATTTTCAACTTTTATTAATAAAAATTCTTTATTTATTATCTATAAGTATCATTTTTCACATATTTAATCTTTAAAAAACTTATATAAATATATATTTAATAATTATATAATAGAGATAAGTCTATCAGAAATAATTATTATATTATAATTATATTCTTGAAATTTATTTTTGACAAATTCAGTTTTATATTTTTTAAAAGAATTCAAAATAAGTAAGTTTTTTAACTTTAATAATTCTCTTATATAAGAATTTCATATTTTTTCTATTTAAATTTATATTAATATTTTATTCATCTATTCTTTATCTTGTATTTTAATAATAATTTTTTATAAAAAATCTTTAGATAATTATTTTTTCTTAAAAATTATTATTAATTTTAATTTGATATTATTAATAAGAATAGTTAAGATATAGATGAAATAATTTTTTTTATTTCTTATTATTTAAAAATAAATAATATTGATATTTAAAATGTTAATTATTATATTTCTTATTATATTATTACCTTTTTGGTGCGAGTTCTGAGGTGAGGGCGAGTATTAAACCTAATATTACAAAAACACGTGATAAAAGCGACCACGTGTTTAAAACGATATTTGGGAGAGTCTTTAAAAGGTTTATTAACAAGAAGGTGTCTACTATTATTTCAAAGTTAATCTAAAGGTAGGTAACGATAGTGTTCTTGTTGTAACTAGCTAGAATGTAGCCCAATTCCA